TGTTGTGACAGTGGTGTAATAATGATGTAGTATTTGTATTGTAATCTTCTTGTAGTAAACTAATATTTGTATTTAGTGTTGCTGCAATAGTGTTATTGTGTTTGAATTGTGTTAGTGGTACTGATGCGGTGTTTTTATTGTGTGTGTTTGTTTTGTTATAGCAAAGCCACATCGGTCTATCAGCTATATCCACCGAAGGGAATTGAACCCCTGATTTTAGCGTTGTAAATCCGAAAACTTACCGCTGTCTCACCGGGGAACGTTTTTATTGTAACGGCATTTGTAAATACAATCAAAAGCCATTTAAATGCTTGAAACAATTTTATTATGAAAAAATGATATTCTTAATATTCTAAATTGGTTTCATAATTCTTTATTTGAATTTTTTTTCAAACGTTTATTGCATAAACAAATAGCCCTAATTTTTGTATCGTTGATTAGGACTCGTTGTTCATGGATATGACCTTGAGAACAATAAAGAAAAAGATTTTCAACTACACTATTCCCGAAGAGATGAAATCATCCTCTTGGAAGATGTATAACTATGTTTCACGAATCTTTACGATCATGTCAGAGGTGATGATTATTTTATAACATATCAGTTTGTATTTCTCTATTCAAACGACGTCGTTTTGTATAATGTGAGAAAATTTAACCTTTTCAGTTGACCTTATGTGAATATTTTGCATAGAGATGACTGAATGATGGAGAAATGACATAATATTCTCATTAAAGAAATTCAATAAGACGAGGTATTAAATTCATCTGTTTCAATTGAATGATTGACTGAATGCTGCAAGTACGCCCATGTAAATAAAATAGTACTGTCTGTTGTATCTCCATGCAACTACTTCGCAGGGTGTTGATAGATCATCACCAAATTTAGTATGGAGGTTCAGTGGGTCCATGGGGAGATATATGCAAATTTTCAGTTTTGCATTTTGCGTTTTTATGGGCGTTTTTTATCGCTACTTCGCCCCCTGTTGATGGGTCTTCACCAAATTTGGCATGAAGGTTTGTTGGGTTGATGCGGAGATACGTGCAAACTTGCGGTTTCACGTTTTGTGTTTTGCTGTTTATATAGGTATTTTTGCGTTTCTTACAATTACATATAATGGAAGCAACTTTTTATGTCCTAAGGTAACCTTTCATTACCACGAGTGTACATAACTTCCGTTCAGGGGACGGGTACTCCAGCTAGTTTTTAATATTATAGTGTATTTTTGTATTGTTAATCCAAATATTTTTCATAGGCAATACATTTAAAATAATAATAGTAAATAAACTTTTTCACAAATTACAGCTTTTACAGTAAGGAAGAATATTTTTAAACAGGTGCATTCTCAAGTACAGTGATCGAAACGTCGTACATGTTAAAAAATGTTTTTCCTTACTGTAAACGTTGTAAATTGTAAAAAAAAAATACTTATAATCAGTAAGCAAACGAAAATATTTAATTAAATGTACAAAGACTGTTTTGACATGTTCGTTAACTTGTAAAAAATACTTATAATCAGTAAGCAAACGAAAATATTTAATTAAATGTACAAAGACTGTTTTGACATGTTCGTTAACTTGTAAAAAATACTTATAATCAGTAAGCAAACGAAAATATTTAATTAAATGTTCATTGACTGTTTTGACATGTTCGTTAACTTGTAAAAAATACTTATAATCAGTAAGCAA